AGAGACGGAATTCGCAAAGGCCACCACGTGACTATTACGACCGGTGTACTTTTAGCGGGTGGCGCAGGCGAAACATGACTAATTAGTGCAGCCAACACTCCAGGCTGTTACGGTGGGCCAAGTATCTATCTAGTGGGGTGTTGGGCTAAGCTGCACAGGGCTCTGTGCTAATCGTAGGCGTGAAAAAACAGTGCTGGATTTGTAAAGTGCAGTCAGTAAGAGAACAGATGAGCAAATGAAGATGAAGGGCGAAGGAGGCTGACCTTGACATTGACAGTTTGATCAAAGCCGTCCATTTGATTCAGCAACTCCAGGAGAATACGCTGAACTTCACGATCAGCTAAAAAAGCAAAGGTATGCCTTAGGATTTGAGAACGAAAGTCCCCGAAACTTGATCAGGCGAGGGAATTGCATCTGGACCAGAGTTACTCATTAGCAGCTTTAAAAACACGAGTGAAAGAAGGCAAAAATTGCATGGTCTTTTAAACTCCAGGACGGGCACTTTATAAAAGATCAGATTGTCAAGGAAGGATCTCAACCAGGCCTCTCAAGTTTCCACAAAATTCCTTAACAGCAAAATTTTTTACAAGATACGCTCCTTGTAGTTTGCAATTTTCGAGACCAATTATGCTGGAAATGATCAAAGGAGGCAAAAATGAAACTAGGGGATACCTCGTTTTATTCTATTTAAGCGTCCTAGGTACACTGTTTGCCTTATGATCTGACGTAACACGGTACCCCTTTTTTTGGAGTCTTTGCAAATGTTTAATCATTTCTCTCATTTTTTTACTAAGAACACAAGTCAACATTTCTTGCCATTAATTATATAATTTTGCAGTTTAGATGGAATTATTTTGTAAAAATGAGTACTGCTTAAGTGTTTTTCTCACACAAAAAATGAACTAAACGCCTGATTCATAAGTGCGTTCTGTAAAGTATACGGGTTACGCTCAATTACCCTGGCGAATTTGAAATACTTTGCCTACCCTACTTCTCATTTATGCTGTTAAGCTGGTTGCTCATACAGAACACCAATGCGCGAATTGGTATTATTTTGCATGATTTTAATAGCGGCTTCTGGGGGCTTCAAATATAATTAACTTCTGCACTCTAAAAAGCGTTTCCGTGACCTTAAACAACTGAGCAACAGATGTCGACAAAAATGCAGTCCTAAACTCAAATTTACAGGGGCTTAATTAGGGTGGTCGACTAGTAGAACAAAAATCAATACTATAAATGCTGAAAATCCGTCTAATTTGTAACAAGGCACTGCTGTGAGAACGCAGGCAAGCATTATAAGGTGGGCTAGCAATTAGAGCCGATGGATTGTAGTCAAGTTTTAGGAATAATAAACAAGTTACTAGGTTCTCTTAAGTAGGTTGGATTTTAACAGTTATTGTGGTCGGGGGCTTTGTGAGCCTGCACCTGATAGTGGAAGATGCTCACAATGCCCCTATCAAAGAGGAACCAAGGACTTACCTCCGGTCTGTGCATCGAACCTCTTAGTGGCGATGGCATCGATTTCGTCGATGAAGATGATGGCAGGCGCATTCTCTTTGGCAAGGCGAAAGACATCGCGCACCATCCTGGGGCCCTCACCAAGGTACTTCTGCACAAACTCTGATCCGACCACACGAATAAAGGCGGCAGTTGTGTGATGGGCCACTGCCTTCGCCAGCATCGTTTTGCCGCAGCCGGGTGGACCAAACATGAGGACGCCGCGAGGAGGATCAATGCCGATTTGTTTGTATAACTCGAAATGTGTGAGGGGAAGTTCAACTGCTTCTCGTACCTCCTGCTTCTGAATGTCCATGCCGCCAATGTCAGCATAGGAGACATCAGGCTTCTCATCTGTGATTTAAAGTGTGCATACGGAAGGAATCAAATGGAAAGAAAAATAGCGGAAGGCATTGGCTGAAGAACAGGCCATGGGTTTTCATCAAGCAGAAGAAAGCAATTAGATAGTATTTTTTCAAAAGACCTAAAGGAATGTCCTTTACAGATAGACAGAGTAGAAATCACTTTAAAGGCAATACGGTAGCGGTTACTATTTACTCTACAGTGCATGAACTTCTTAAATCGAAAGGCTCGTCTGCCAGAAAAGCAAGTATGTTGTGTAGTTAGAAGGTTCTCGGGTGCAGTGGGGAATGGTCGAGCCCCTTAGTTAGGCAAGGAAAAGTGTAAAAGCAGGGAACAACCAAATGTTTAGCCTGTCAATTTTCGTCTAAGGCGTGGAAGGAAGAAAAGTTAACATCTAAATTGCTTTTAAAAGACGCCGACAAGAAAACGTGTGCCGCGAGAAGGACCAGAACAACCGACAGCTTTATTCCTACGCAGTGCTCTACCTCTGAGGTATTACAGTCAGGACTGTCGCAAGTGAAGAAACTAGTGTGAACGATAACTGATTGACTACTGAGAGTTGGCTGCAACGGATAGGCACAAGCACGGTGAATTAAAACAAATGCATAACGTTAGCGGTCGGGTGAACGTTCATCAATTAGTGTCAATATCCCTCGACCTAACCCGGCAAGACAACGAGCTCATAGTTCAATGGTTAGGGTATTTGACTCAGATCAAAGAAGTCGCCAGTTCGAGGCTCGAAGGGGCCCCACTTGGGTGTGTGTATGACTGGCTAACAATCGCAAATAAGCCATAAATGGCTACTCCAGTCTCCCTTTTCTTTGCCGGTAATACTATCTGCCTATACCACCAGCTGCTATGTCTGTCAGGGCCTCTGTCGAGACCCCAGACAGAACGGGACAGATGAGTTTCGTTAGTGGTCAGGTGAACTTTCATCAATGAATGTATAACCGACAATTTGTAAACTATCCTTGAACCGAATCTAGATTTGGAAACGGTTTATAATCTAAAGAAAACGTATAGTGCCAGAATAACACCCCAGAGAGTTCAAGGTTCATGTTCAACTCTCCTCGACGGAAAAAAATTTCCTGAACAAAAATACTCCGAGGAAATTGAAGAAACTTGTCTCACACAGGAAACTTTTAAGCGTTGAAGTAAGGAAACAAAACACCAGTTATGCGTACCGGCTTGAAGCATAGTTATACTGCTGTCAGCTTCGGGTGGGAGAACATCTACTAGGGCATTGCTATGTTTGTGCAGAGCAACACTCGCACTGGGCTTTAAAAGTTCTCTGTCAATGGTAGACAGGATTCTGACGTAGTAGTTTGAACCGGTGGTTGAACCGACAATGCCCGTTCCTTGATCAACGGCCTCCAGAAACTGACCAATAACTAGGGGCACGCTTTTGATACGCTTCACTTCCTCCTGTGCGTGGAGGTACTCTTTCTTAAGATTCTTCTGTTCATCCTTGATGTACTCTTCTTGAACTTCAATAAATTCTAGCTGTTTCTTAAGGGACTAAAGAAGGAATCGATTAAAATGACAATGAGGTAGCACGCATACCTTCAACTTTAGGTACAGGTCGTCATCGCTTATGCGGAAGGGATCACCCGAGACGCCTGCAGTGGGGTTGGCTTCTACGAGTTCCGTATCGACCTGCTCCTGGGGGGCTGGCGACAAACCGATTTCCTCCATCTTCAGATCTGAAGAGAAAAGGGAAATGAAATACAATGCGAGGCGTCAAACAGGTTTGAAATTCAATAAAAGAGAGATTATATTTTACAATTTTACAACGCTTG